GTTTGAGTGGAGAGAAAATGTTTTGAGAAACGATGTACAAATGCGCTTTACACAATTGATGTGTGTATGGATTGCGATAACAGTTGTATGAGCCCCTAATAAAATGTTTTTTTTTTAAAAAGAAAAAGAAAGAAAGAGCTTTCTTCCCCGTCCTCGCTCCCCTCTCCCCTTTCCCCTTGTCTTCCTTCCCCTCCCACTCTGTCCAGCCCTCTCTCCTGCCCTGTCCCACCAAGAGGAGCCGAGGTGAGCATGCTCCCATGAAATGTGTCAGACTGCTTCATTTTACAATCTCTTCTATCGCCTCGGTGTCTCAGTGGCTTTATGATCATATTTACTTACTACTGCTGTACAATTGCACCTATCGGACCCGTGATAATTTGTTAGGGGCTGGCTCCCCTGACACTTGTCTCTATCTTCCTAATTGAATATAAATCCCATGAGGGCAGAAACTCAGGGACTCTCTCTCTTACTCACTGATGTGTCCTCAGTACCTTGGCTAGTACCTGCCATTGAGTATTCAAAAACAACTTTGGACAAGGACTTACAGGCAAGGAACAAATAGCTAAAATTCATACACAACCTCAACAAGAAAAGGTCTTCAGAGCACAGCACCGAAGCTGCAGCTCAGGGAGAGGGACATGTCTGATGAGAGCACACGGGAGCAAATGAAGGGGGAGGAAGAGAGAGTGGAGCACATCCTGGCCCAAGCCTTGAGGATAATATTCCCGCTCATAGCAGCCAATCCACAGAGAGGACCATATGGCTAACCCCACTACAAGACAGGATATCCCTCACTGACCCATAGTCCTACAGGGGACAACATTGGAGACACAGTTTGGGAATTGCACCCACTCTGACCCCACCACACTAAGGGTGTGCAACCTAACAGCAAGGGGAGCAGAGTAAAGAAGTCCTAAGGGAGTACCAAGAATAGACTTTGGGGCCAGGGCGTGGCACCCCATCAGACTCAACCCCAAAACACTCCTAAAAGACATCAAGTAGACCTTAAACTATTTACAGGCTTTTCTTTTGTGTGTGTGTGTCATTATTTGTTGTTGTTTTGTTTCATTTTGTTGCTTTGTTTTGTTCTGTCTTGTTTTTTGTGCATATTATTATCTCTGCAGGTCTATCTAGATAAGATAGGCTGGATAAACAATTTGGAGGAGAAAACAACGGGACCAAAGGTTCTGGGAGGACATGGGAGAGGGGGAGGTCAGGGGAAAGGAAGTGGGGTTAACAAACCCAGGGACAAGGGAACAACAAGTGACCCAAAATCAATGGTGAGGAGGGTGTAGGAGGCCTGACAGGGCTTGATCAAGGGCAATGTAACCCAGAGGAATTACTGAAACTCAAATGAAGACTGAGCATGACAGTGGGAAGAGGAAAG